AGTTTTAGCTTTTGCTATTTGTTTAATTAGATTTCTCAAGTGAAAAGCCACAGAAACCGCACATTTTGCTCAAGACTTTTAGGGGCAAAAGGACGAGCCACGAAAGGGTTCTTCTGCCCAAAGAATGTCTTGGCCCTGTCTGGGGAGCTTAGAGCCAGCAAATGCAGGCGGCCGACTGCAATGGCCTCAAGTCTTCGAAGTGTTAAACAGGAGAAGCAGCTGTGGGGGCAGTCTCTGCTGCTATTGGAACGCAGCAAACAATTTTTCAAACGGGAAAATTGTACTCCGTACCGCTCTCTCTCTCTCTCGCAAATACTTTAGCGAGCAGCTTAGCATTTTGTGCACTTTAATTTGCGGTCAACTTTGGTCCACAACCCCCGACAGAACTGACCGCATCAAAGGCGCAAAATGTGAAGAACAACCCCAAGGTGCGTCGAACCCAGGGCCAGTGCTCTGTCTCTTCCTGTTGTTCCCTAGCAATCTAGTACCATTTGAAACCTCTGTTGGGGCAGCATACAGAAATCGTCACTCAATCCTGAGACTGGAACAGGCAACTTAGAACACACAACACAACAGACACACACTTCCTTGTCGTGTGCCAATTTGATTCACTGCCATTATCGAAATGGCTTTTATGTCGCGACGTAATCCTAAAGGAAAATTGGTGCAGCGGAAATTGCTGTCCGGCAGTCCTGCAAGTGGACCCGGAAACCCAATGCCCGAGTGGCGCGACCTAAGCAAATCGGATGAAGGATTGACCGATCAAATACTTGTGGCAGGCATAGACACAGACTCCACCGAGAGCACCAAGCAGAAGAAGGATCGTCAAAGGCAGCTGAACTATGATGCGTGGGTGCAGCTCAAGGACAAGGAGAAGAAACAGAAGATTCTGGCCGAAAGACGTGAAAGTGAGAGACTCGAAAGGGCAAACAAAGAGCGCATGGAGGAGTCCCACAGGATGGTCGGAGAGTGGAACCTTAAGAAGGAGCAGCAGATCCACGAGGAGCGACACAAGAAGCCTTTTGTCATCCCCCAGAAGTACAGGGCCACCTATGTGAGATGTCCACGGGAGACTCCAGAGGAGCGCAGAGAGCGCATTCAGGCATTGGCGCGCCTCAATCACATCAAGGCGCAGCGCCTTGCTCGCCAGCGTGAGGAGCAGGAGAAGCTTCAGGAGCGTCGTTAGATGGCAGAGGGAGCCTTTTCCAACCAGATGAAGAACCTGCAGAACCGCCACAAGAGGCTTCCTCCGCGACACACAACCCAAAAAGAGATATTNTGATTCACTGCCATTATCGAAATGGCTTTTATGTCGCGACGTAATCCTAAAGGAAAATTGGTGCAGCGGAAATTGCTGTCCGGCAGTCCTGCAAGTGGACCCGGAAACCCAATGCCCGAGTGGCGCGACCTAAGCAAATCGGATGAAGGATTGACCGATCAAATACTTGTGGCAGGCATAGACACAGACTCCACCGAGAGCACCAAGCAGAAGAAGGATCGTCAAAGGCAGCTGAACTATGATGCGTGGGTGCAGCTCAAGGACAAGGAGAAGAAACAGAAGATTCTGGCCGAAAGACGTGAAAGTGAGAGACTCGAAAGGGCAAACAAAGAGCGCATGGAGGAGTCCCACAGGATGGTCGGAGAGTGGAACCTTAAGAAGGAGCAGCAGATCCACGAGGAGCGACACAAGAAGCCTTTTGTCATCCCCCAGAAGTACAGGGCCACCTATGTGAGATGTCCACGGGAGACTCCAGAGGAGCGCAGAGAGCGCATTCAGGCATTGGCGCGCCTCAATCACATCAAGGCGCAGCGCCTTGCTCGCCAGCGTGAGGAGCAGGAGAAGCTTCAGGAGCGTCGTTAGATGGCAGAGGGAGCCTTTTCCAACCAGATGAAGAACCTGCAGAACCGCCACAAGAGGCTTCCTCCGCGACACACAACCCAAAAAGAGATATTAATTTCATTGTTTGGTTTTACATTATTTGAAATTGTTTTTCGATGCTTGGTGTGGTAATTTAGTCTACTTTATGAATGCTAGAAACAGTGGGCAGGCGATTGTGCTGGAGATACGAAACCAAATCAAGAGTGAGCGGAGGAGAGCCCAAAGAGAGCCCCAACATACTCTGACCATAAGGGAAGCTAGCTGGCAAGTAAAGTGCTAAACAAAAGGAATAAGATACTTGGGAAGAGCAAAGCGTGGATATCTGTAAATATTGTTATGGTGTAACATTTTCAATACCTTTATTCTCTTGTGCTGTTCCTTTTTGCTTGCTGTAGTTGCCGCTTTCTTTCCACGCACCAACAAAATAGTCACAATTGAGGTTTTGCACATGAAAAAAAGATGTAAAAAATAAAGGTTTATATGGATTTGTATACGTGTACATTGTGTACATACTATACCAAATACTTAAAACACTTGTTGCACTTTTCGCACTTTCCCTTTGTCGATTTTTTCCCTTTTGTTGGCATTTTTCCCACGCGGACTGGAGATGCGTCGTTGGATTAGTGCGCACCTTAAACATGCAAACAAACAAACACACACATAAGTGGTCGGTCGAGTAAACAGAAGAGAAGGCACAAGCCACAAATTATAATTGCGGTTGTTTGCACTGATCTATGCCATGACCCAGGCAGTAGGTATCAAACGGTAAACGGTGAACGGTAAACGGTGAACGGTAAACGGTGAACGGTAAACGGTGCAGAAGTGTTCCAACCGTCTACCTGCGCATCCAACGGAGAGTTTGAAGCGTGGCGTGAGGTGGACACCCCTTCTGCCATCAGCGGCCACGCGTCACATTTTAGTTTGTTTTGTATGTGTGCACATATGCATGCATGTACATATGTGTATGTACGTAAGTCGCTTCACGATTTATTGTCTGATCTTCCAGCTAAGGCACACAATGCGGCCAGTTCCTTCCTTCTTTATCAGCTTGTCCAACATTTGCTGAGTGTCCTCAGTATATTGCACATTATTTGAGTTATTGTACGCTATTTTAGTTGCTTTAACTATTTTCTGCTTGCGGTTCTTGCACGAGTCTGTGCAGTGTTGGAAACTGCAAAAAAGCGAAGCGTTTACATTACAGTGTTATTGCAGGTACGCACATATGTGATTTATTTATTATTTACATGCATTAATTGATGTATTTAAACGCTCTTAAAAGTCTACAATTATTTAATGACTATTAATTATTCATTTTGCAATTGTTATGAGACCCAAGAACGCTTTTAACCAGATTTTCTTAGTATTAACTGTATGAAATAAGCTGTGGGCTGTCCATATCTACATACAAATGTTTTCCTTGATTTCAGAATGTTATTAATTGGAAACCATCAAATGTTATACAAAAACAATTTCGAGTTAATTTGTTTACAAATATGTTTATTTTTTTGCATATTTATGTACATACTTCGATACGAAAAGAAAACAACTGTTATCGATATGTTTTGTGGTGGCTTTTGTGGCACATACTGTATGCCTGTATGGAATAAGCTGTGTTTATTTTTTGTTTTCTTTAGTAATGGTTAAGTATTATTTTTGACTTTCAAATTGCATATCTGTCGTGATTTTTGTCATATTATAACCATCTTCAGAGCATCTATTAAATATTTACTAGCACAAATTAAATTATGTGTTTGGCGTTTTTGAGATTAAATATCGTTAATTTTGATTACAATTTGAATGTATTGTATAAATTCATAAATAATTACCAATAAAACACCCTAAAATAAACATTATCAACCTGTTTTAAGCAAATATGCGTAATTTTCATGGAAAGTTTATAAATGCAGCTATAAACTGTAACTTGGTTACTTCACTTGACCGTCTGGGTAATCTTAAGGTTTCAATTTCAAATGCATACATTTTTTGTAGAGGTTTTTTGCAAAGTGTTTTCTCTAGAGATTCAGGAAATGTCGAACGAAATTATAATCGGGTATTTTTGTATTTTTCGCATATTTTCGCACTAATTAGGCGTTGTTTTAGATATCGTTCACAAAAATTGATGGATGAACGGTTGAGTTTTAGCGCATCTGCTCTAGAGAGCTTCCTCTTGTGTTTCCTCAGAGGCTTCTTCTATGAGGGATTGGAGCTGCGAGGAAGAGCTCCAAAGGAAGCTCTGAGAATTCATTTCAATTCATTCAGAATACCCCAAAGAAACAGTGTGGAATAATCCCCAAAAATCTTGAAACCTTGTAATAAAAAATAATACAATTAAATATTTAAACATTTCTAGCAGTGGTAAAATCAGTGGCAAAAATTAGAGTAAATTCGATGCTGCCATTTTTTGTCTTACAATTTTAAAATTATTTCAATTCTTTTTTGTTTGATGAAACATTTGAAAATTGTATTTAAAGTTGAATCGCTTTATGTTCTTTATCACTTTTATTTATTGGATTGATTAATTGTTCATAAGTGCAACAATAAAGTTTGCAGTCTCATAGCCTGGGCACACTGAAGCTGAGAAGTCGTTCACATTGGCAGATCTTGGTGCGTCTTGAGAACAGCTGACTGACACTTTCATGCAACACAAATTTTGCTAGCAGAATCAGTTATGATTACAAGCAAGATAACAAGCCAGAATCAAGTATACGTTAGCAGAATTTCGTACCCAGTAGAAGATTTCGGTGGATGAATTTTTTAAGTCCAGCAGTGCTATTAACAGTGCCAGACCAGCAGTGCTATTAACAGTGCCAGACCAGCAGTGCTATTAACAGTGTCAGACCAGCAGTGCTATTAACAGTGCCAGAGCAACAGAATGTTAGCGCTCCATGTTAACAGCCTGTTAGCGAAAGGCCACTGTTAGACAACGCTCTGTAAGCGGTAGCTTGTGCTCTCGTTCGCTCTCCCGATCGACCTTGGCTTGTAATGGTCTTGCGTAAAGAGTTTACACACCAAGTAGTTGTTGTTCCCTTAGCCCACTGTGTGCTACACAGTGCTATTAATGTAAATCCTCATGTAAATGCTCTTTTCTATGCTTTGAATACAATTTAATATTCCATTTTTGTACATTTGTGTAGATAGATGTCATGTTATTTGTGTAAATGTTAGTAGGTAGGTGTAAAAATTGTACAATTAACGATGATCAGAGTGCGATAATTCGATATCAGTGCTTATCAGTTGTCTGTGTGTTCCGGTGTCAGTGTATATCTGTGGTGTATGCATGAAGGTGTGTGTGTGTTCCGTTCTTCCCTTTGGTGCATTTGACTAGAATGTGGTTTTTGTTGTTCATCCTTGGCTGCATCATGGAGTGTGTGGATTACTGCGGCGATAATTTCAATTAGGAAAATGTTCGTTTGTCTTTTTGACATCTTTTGTGATGTACACTCACCATCAGGTTGCAGAATGTCTGCTTAAAGCGGATTGAACGCGGTCTAAAGGGGGTGACAACAAATTAACTCAAAGCAAATACATTAGGCTTGAGGGCAGAGGCCGGCAGCGTCGACTCCTGATTTTAGAGGCTGTGTGTAGCGGTTGTACTTACATTTTCTCAGGAATGTTCACGATCGATTCCAGACGGGGTTCCTTCAACTCCGGAGCCACCAAAACAGAATTATACTTGCGGCGCGAGCACTTCTGGCGGATGGACATCGGCACCTGTTCGGCTTTGAGCGGCAGCTGAGATAATGAAGACGGTCTAAAGGGGGTGACAACAAATTAACTCAAAATAAATACATTAGACTTGAGGGCAGAGGCCGGCAGCGTCGACTCCTGATTTTAGAGGCTGTGTGTAGCGGTTGTACTCACTCATTCTCAGGAATGTTCATGATCGATTCCAGACGGGGTCCCTTCAACTCCGGAGCGACCGAAACAGAATAATACTTGCGGCGCGAGAATTTATTGCGGATGGACAACAGCTCCTCCTGTTCGGCCTTGAGCGGCAGCTGAGCCATGCGCAGGACGGTGGCTCTCAGTTGGAGAGACGTGTAACGGGAGCAATCGGCGAGCTGGCGTGTCCAGAGACTTTCGTCGAGGCCACCGTCGGGGGTGCCGTCGGACAGGTTGAGCGCGATGTAGAGCGCAGCAGCGGCTATCTGCGATGGCTTGACGCTGGCCAATTCGGCGTCCATCAACGCCAGTTGCACATAGTAATGCGCCAGTTTTTGGCATTTAATACCAAAGTCCGCCGTGGCATTACACAAGCGCTTCAAAAATTGGCTCGGCACCGGACGCGATAGATCACAGTTGATTGCCAGCAAAATTTGCAACACCATCTCACTAATCATTTCGTCCGTGAAGCCTGCGTCCGTGTGCTTCAAAAACCATTGAATGTGTGTCATCTTTGGATTCTCGTACTTGCTGGCCAAGACCAGGGCACTGAAGCCCATCAGATTGAGATCCGAGGGCGATATGTCCTTGACCCACTGCTGCAGATAGCGATCGATGGTGGCGATGGCCATCTCAAAGACCCCGTCACACAAACGGAGTTTGGAGTGTACAGCATGGACCCAGTTGACGAGAACGCTGCGCATATTGGGTGTCAGATTCATGTGCCATGCCATGTGGTGCTCGAGTATCGGGAGCATGCTCTCCCGCAGGAACAGACGATAGAAGTTTTC